GTGAACATATGAAAAAAATTTAGCAAGGGATTGATAAATTAAAATTTAACAAACGATTTTTTAATGACTTGAATAGGACAGTACCGGGTGAGTGACTACCCCTAGAAAGTAGTCACGTACTGTCCCCTCTGAGCCAGTAAAAAGGTTAATAACACCTTAAATTATAAGTAAACAAATCAATAAGCACAAAATCTCTTTCACCAAAAAATCCTATGTCATAATATATATCAAATTACCCCCGTTACAAGGGGTTAAATAATGAACACATTCTAATAATAATAATGAAATACCAAACAAAAATAAAAGATAATGTCGGGTGAATGCTAACGTGTCTAGGACACGTTAACATACATTATCTTTTATTTCAAAAACATATAAATAAAGATCAATTATTATAAATTAGTAACTGTTAATAACATGATTAATTTTAAATAATAAGACAGGAAATGAATAATAAAAACGAAACAATTGTTCAAAAAATATCAAAAAATAACACTCATATGAGTATTTTTCAAATAATACTCATATGCCTGCAGGCTGAACTGGCCCATCCCGATCCCTCCCTCCAGCCGCCTCCAAGCACTATATCACACAGTAATTAAACTGTGTGCAATAACACATACTAATAACAAAATAGTAATGATAACAGCAAATAATATCAAAAACAGCACAAAAATAATATCAAACATAACACAATATCACATATGAACCATAGTAAATCAAAAATAATCACAACTCTGTTTGCTAACACAAAAAAAACAAAACAATCACATACATCATAAACATCAACAACAATTGTAATAACCAACTATCAATAACAGCTACCTCCTAGAGGTAGCCACTCACCCGGTAGTGTCCCCCTCTAGTCACACAAAAAATTAAACAAACATAATGATTTTCCTAGGCCTAGTTTGATTAAGAAATTACACAATAATAGAAAAAATAATAACAAAAATTACACAATTCATAAATAGCGAGGCAATATCACTCGCCGAAAACATCAATAATAATAATCAAAAAACATTTATCACAAAAAATACGAATTGAAAAACAACAATAAAAATAATGGCACGTATAAACATCAAAAAATCACTACGAACACAAACATTAACATCATAAACATAAAATGATAACATGAAAAAACACTTCAAAATATAAATTGTGATGTGATGACGATGATAAAAAAACAAAATGTGATGACGATGATAAAAAACAACGCAATAATGACAAAAAAATTTCAAAAACATCATTCAAAAACTTATACATCAAAAAAAGCATCAAAATGCGATGAAAAAAGAAATCGCATTTTTCAAAGAAAAAACGAAAAAACAAAACCATTTTCATAAAAAAACAAATAACTTCACAAAATCGAAAAATAACAATAACAACTTCACGAAATCAAAAAAATAACAATAATAATAAACAACACAATAATAATCACTAAATTCACTTCAATAATTACAATCAAATTCACATAAATAATTTTAAATAGATAAAAAAGAACGAATCAAATATCACAAAAGGGTCGCTTGTGACCCATGCAATAAAAGGCCTCTTCCGGCCGATTCGAAAAATAATAATAAATAAAAATGGCCGCTTGTGGCCTTTGAAACGTTGTGCCCATTACATTGGGCTCCGGTGAAAGATCTGCAAAACAAAAGCATTACAATTTTAAAATCTATCATC